CGAATCGGTTGTGCAGCTTCTCCTCGAGCGTGGGGCAGAGGTGAATGCGAAGGGTGGCAATTTCGGCAATGCACTACAAGCAGCTGCATCTCAGGGAAACGAATCGGTTGTGCAGCTTCTCCTCGAGCGTGGGGCAGAGGTGAATGCAAAGGGTGGCCATTTCGGAAATGCACTAAACGCAGCGAAAGAATACAATCAAGAATCGATTGTGCAACTTCTCCTCAAACACGGGGCAGATCCCGATCTATGATTTCGGCAGCATGACACATGTAGCACAACCAGCTAAGAGACTTTCTATTTTTCAACTACTCGAATATCTTATTCCTCAAGCGGCTGCCAATTCTTGAAGCTGCGCCTTTCCTATCCCGTATCTGCTCCATCTCTCTCTTCCCTCTCTTTCACATGGTTACTACAAAAAAAAACCAGCTCCTACGATACCTTCACACTCGGCACTCCCGGCAGTCTACTACCCCACGACTGTGCTCGATTACTCACCCGGGACAAACAACCGTTCATTTCCTGAACCCCATCTATCCATCTACCACGGAATACCCCACGTGGCTTCAACCACTTTCTCGGAAACTTCAAGTTACCTCACGACCAGTTTACTTGAATATACAAACCCGGATCTACAACTCTCTCTACCAACCTGGCCTCTCTAATCCCTCTATCCCATAGCCTCACCCTCCTACATCTAGTTCCACACCTCAGACACACACACACTATGCCCTATTACACAAGTATTCAGTACCTATTGAAGATCCCTTTTTAACTTACCCCACTAATTCACTCTTGTCCCACCCCATCTCCTCACTATCCTTATCTCCTTTCAGAACCAAAACTCGATACATCCTAGATAGTACCATGTGGGGTTTGGGGCCACACCCATACTTGCCATCAATGGGCGAATCGGTCAGAAGACCCCGATAGAAGGAGTAGCTTGAAGACTATTTCTCTGGAGGCGGCAAGATGGGATTAAAAGTGCTTAGAAGAGGAGGGGATTGTCAAGCTGGCTTACCAATTTATTTGTTAGATAGTTGGGTCTTATCTCGGACTATACTGGAACAAGGCTTTGCAGCTCCCCTTCATTTTTCCTATATTTCTTTCCCCCTCTCTTTCTTTCCTTTTCCAGGCCAAATAAGGCCACAGGTTTAGGCTCATGGAGGGGGCTGGTGTGCAGGAAATCGTGTCTTCTTCACTCCCAGGAGATCGCTTGTTCGTGGTCCTGTTTTCTCTTTTTTTTTTCGGTTCATCACCCTATTTACGCTTTATCAATGCATTAATTGTTGAGACTAGTCCTAAGAGTATGATAGTGCATTGGATTTTCCCATCGCAGCACCAAATTCCCTTCATGTCAAATTCGACAATGCGTATGAATTGATCGGGAGTGAGTCTTGAGATTAATTAACCAGGATTGAAAATGGGTGGACCCGACCTGACCCAGTGCGGACAAAGGCTTGGCCCGGCGTGACTCAACCCAATAAACCACAATCCGGGTTAATCAGGGGGCCCATGGGCCTCCACCTAAAATGAACCAGGCACGACATGGAAGGGTTAGAGCTAGTTTCATTGAGGATAGATAGCCAATTATCCTGCCCCCTCGTTAGCACACGAGTGAGGAGGATTGGCACTCAAAGAGCAACTCTGGCATGAGTGGAGGAAGTTTAATCTCATCCTTATCCTGCAAATTCTGCCCGCAGCACTTCCCCCTAACCTCCTTCTTTATATGTAGGTATTAATTCAATAGCCCCCGCAATTTACTATGGGGCCTGCATCATATGTTCTCCAACAACGATTACTCCCTATTAATAGGACTAACCCGTGCTGAGCAAGCTCCCCGGATTCCGGTGCAGAGGGCCCAGGGTTCTCTCACGAGCATCACACAAGCTATCATACCAATATCTATCAAGCATAGACTTGAACACTTAGTAACTAGAGGGTGATTATCTTTCGGATTAAAGACTTACGGGGCGCCACCCACAACCAGCATTCCGCCGGGAGGCCTCGATTGTTCCAACCCATTAGGGTAGGAGCATTTTTTTTAATTTTTTACCTTTGGCTTCCAGCTAGGTCCGCATTCACAGAAATAACAGATCCGAGTTCAACCCGTGCGCCCTGTGTAACCAGAGTTCGGAGAACCCCCACTACCAGATTCGTAAAGCCAAAAACCTAGAAGTGACCTTCAGGCCGATAGGATAAACGCCAGACTTGAGAGAACACTGCAGGCATCAGAGAAAAATCTCACAGCTTCAGTTGATCGATTGGATTGCTCGAGGACCAATCCCACATCATTAATTTATCCCAGTATCACTAACCAGAAGCCGAACCAGCAGCGGATAAAGAGTGAAAGAAAGCGAGATTCCCGAAGTCCCAGCATGCCAAATTAGATCAGATTCGTTTTGCACCCATTATCAGATTACGTACTTTGAGAAGATTGGGGAGCAAGCAATATGATATCAGTAACAAGCAGCAGCTCATCCCCGATGACCCCACCTTTTGGAAATTGTGGTTGATCGAACGACAACGTCAATGATTGCTACGAAGGTTTTACGGGACCGGAGGAGGACAGTGAGGAAAGGGAGAGAATAGAATTGATCTTATCCGCTGAGTGGAGTGAAACAGCAGGAAGTGAAAACAGAGAAAGGAGAGATGTGAATTAATTAATGGTAAGCGAGGGAAGTGTGTATATCGATCTTCGTGAGAATCGCTGAGGGAGGAAGGAAGAGAAACAAAAGGAAAGAAAGCAAACGTAAGGTTCAAACCTGTGTGCCAGTTATCAGAGGTGCATAAGCAGTTGCGTACACCTGCGAATGTTCCCAGCTCTTATGTGTAAACGCCCTCATATATTCAACACCCACCTATAAACCTCCTAGAGACTCTTCATGATGGCTTTCTGCCCTGCTATATTTTTTTCACCGTTTCTGTAGAACAGGGGGTTCCTAACGCAGCACGAAAAACAAGCTTCGAGTAAGCAAGTTGTAGTAGTGTATGGATATAGGGCATGCTAGCCGACACCAATGCCAAGTGATCAATGCCGAGGAAAGTAGTTTTGGTGTATGATGGCTAGGTCTTTCAAAGGGACGGGGCTTCATTGGGTTGACCTCGCTTCTTCCTTGGTCAGAGCGCAAGATAGTCCTTGCTTGGATTGAGCTAGGTCCGGGTTTGGCCGGCCCGATAGACCCCTCCCCCCCAAATTCGGTTCCGTGTTCCCCGAGGTTATTGCCATCGCAAAGAGAGCAATTATGCATACCGAAGAGCACAAAATCGTATATTCTCTGTCGGACGAAAGCTGACGGAAATAGTGTAACTTTGGACAGTTTCTCAGAAGTAGCACATAAGCTTCTGCACTAAAGCCAGTCTTGGGATATATCACTCGTTATGGACTCTTCAAACGTTCAGTACATGAACCTAAAACAAACTCCTTACTCCAAGTCCAAGTAGTCGAAAACTCCCCTCTTGGTTCATTCCAGTTTCTCTCCTCATGAAACCATCTAGCTGCAGAGATGAATTCCCCCCCCCCCGATACTCTGAATCTTCACTCTAGTCCTCCACCTATCCCTCGAACCGCGCACACCATCCGTAAATCCCGAGGTTTGTGAGCCCAACGGGCAGAGGTTCACCAACCTAAACTTCGTTTATCTACCCCCAGAGTACCAATCCAGCACATAATTAGCTAAATCCCCCCCCAAGTACCGGTGCCCACAAAACGGAGAGACCCCAGATTAATACTGCTTCCAATCTCGGAACCCGGCAACAACCAAACAAACAAACAAACCTAAATCCAAATTACCCGTGCCTATCCAGCCACCGCGTGAGTGCTCACAGGAAGCAGGTGATACAGAGGGGATTGCACATTCCACCTACCTACTATACATTACCTCCATCATCACCAATCTCCCATAAAAACCCCTCCAGATGATCTTCGTCAAGCATTCATCCCCAGGAATTCACCCGCAGGTATTCCCCAACATGACTCCACTCAGTGTACCACCGCCCACACAGACAATTCGGGCCCATCTGAGGCACGGTTGCCAGAGCACTTCGCAACAAAATTGCTCTGTACCAGTACAGCACTGTACAGCACCGCGCATCCCAAGCGTACGGAATAGTCCCCGGCAATCTGTCCAGTGCGCAGCTTTAAAAAAAAGAATAGAACCCGGTAAAGCGATCCCAAAATAACTAGTGAGAAATATCAGCGACAAACTTCACGATCGAGGGAAGAAAATCTCAGGAACCAAAACTTGTTCCTCCACGCGTGGCGGAAATTTTTTTCACAGTTCAAAAAAAAAAGTGGGGAAATTTTCCCTCCCTTATTTGAAATTCCTACACTCGGCCGAAGCCAGATCCACGGCCGGGAATTCCTGGACCCACCCACCCCTACCTATCCGACCAGGGCTGGAATACCCACGACACGGTAAGCGGAATTCGGATGGGGTCACTGACTACCATACCAATACATCCATGGTACAGGCAAAGCTCTTCGGGCAGCTTGAAGCGGTGATATTTGCGTATCAGAGTACACTGTTATCCATAGCATATTATGATAATCATGTTAAAGGCATTGATACTACCTCCACGTGTGGCGTCACGAAGGGTGAGTGTGTAAGGTGAGAGATTGAAAGTAAATACCGATATTTAGAAGGAGACTAGGAGTTATGGATCGGGACTAGAGAGCGCTAAATTGCTTATTATCCTATAACTACATGCGTCAGAGACAGCCATACTAATGCCCACAAAAGACCGCCTATCTACAGAGGGATGAGTCCAGATGCTCCGAGCTAAACACACTTCGGTCGCATTGAAGCAATACTCCCGGCACCCCCCTGAAAATAGGAGTGACGATCCATGATACCATAAATTATCACCCACTGTCATCGTGTAGCCTAGCAAACACACCCGTTCGTTCAATCTCACTCACTCACTCGATAGTACCCCTCTTAGACTTCCGCATGGAATAATACTGAGAATAAGATGCAATAAGAGGGAGAGGGAAGAAGCGACAACGAGGGTAAAAATGAGATAAAAATGTAAAAAATGAAAGGATCCCGTCCGAATCGCCATATACATTTAAACCCCGCCGCTCCAAGCAATCAAGCAAAAGAATAATAAAAATAGAGCCCCAAAACACAATCTGTATTCCAGTTTTTCGAAAAGAAAA